TATTATTTAATAAAAAATACAAAATTAATATTCTTTTTAACAGTTTTTCTACTCGCAATTAAAGTCAAACTCATCTGCCGTCGTAAGTATCAAGATTCGAATATTTGCAAATCTAGTGGTCACAGCTAGTTACTTGAATACAACAATTTCCTGCATCTCGAGACAATATTATACTAAATAATATTGACATTTATTTAAAGCAAACAACCTCTTTGCTTAGTTTTAGGGGCCGTATTATTTAAATTTTAAAGCAAACCACATCTTGATGGAGTCAACGGCGTTGTTGTATTCCCGTAATCTGTCCGGGCGCCATTAGTGTGTTATTGGTTTGAAAGAAAAGGAGATATAATTTTTTTAATTAATTAAATTATAATATTAAAAAATAAAAAAATTTAATTAATTAAAAAATTTATCCCTTAATTCTCTCAAACCTAATGTAATTAATAAAGCTAGGTGTTATGTGATCACAAGTTGAACAATAGTGACATATAGCTTCCCTAATTAAGAATGAGATACAACTTTTTAAATTATTTCTAGGTCTATTTTGGTGGGATCATGATTTATCTAAGAGTAATGATCTGTGGGACGATTTTGGGAGACGAAACCGGAGGACGACAAGTGAAACAGTCTCAACAGCAATTACCAATTTGACCCTGCTTCCACTTGTCGTCCTCCGGTTTCGTCCCCAAAATCGTCCCGCAGAGCATTACTCTTTATCTAATTAAAGAAAAAGTGAGATTGAGGAAGAGTTTTAAGGCCTGTTTGGATCAACTCTTAGAAATTTCAGCTTTTGAACATTTCATGTTTTATAAATTTAAATTTTCCTCTTAAAAATATACACTTTTAAATATTATTTTAACCTTAAAAAGATCTTAAACAGTAAAAACTCAAAAGTTTCAAATCAAAACTTTTCATAAACTCCCTTTTTACTCTTTTTTTCTTATCTCTAAAAGCATATTTTAAATTTTTCCTCCAATAAAAATTTAAACTTATCACTCATAACAGTACTCAAAAAGCAAAAACTCTCACAAGTCACACCAAACAGGCTCTTACTTCATTGAAACACTGCTTTGTTTTTTGTCTTCCACATTAGATGCTAACTTGTTAAGAATGTTTTCAGCACTAACAAATGTTGAGCATTGCCCTTTTTCTTCTTGAAGCATGTAGAACATATCTTGAAGGCATATAAAATTTTACTATAAATATTTTGTGATATTTCAAGCATTCAGTTTCTTTCTTTCTTTTTCTTTTTTTTTTTTTAATGACGGTTGCCCTTAGCTTGTTCTAAACATTACATTTCCTAATGTTTATAAGGCACCATATGAAGATATATTTCTGCATATTTTGTCTAACTTGTAGGTTGTCGATCGTATTTCCTTATTTAAAAAATGTGTTGCAAATTGCATTAGGGTGGATAATTTAATTTATTAGATGAGAATGAATTTTTAAAGGATTAAGTAAAATTAAGATATTTTAATAATTAAAATATTCTTAATAAATTAACACATTAAAAAGATTCATTAAAAATATTTAAATAATTTTACAATAAAATCTTGACATTTAAAATATTAAGATAT